ATGTGCATCACATAGAATCAGAACAATTTTTATTTGGAAAAATTCTAGTGAAAAGTAGACTTGCAGTTTGAAAATTACTTACAATCTAAAGTGATTTCACTGTGGTTAACTTCAATTTTAAAATATTTTGCTTTATGCTGTGAAATCATGGTAATGGCTAAAACAACCATCTTGTTTGATTAAGAGAAGAGCTTGAGCCAACAGTACTGGCATAAGAGTTATACAAACAACTTTTTTTTCTTCAGAATCTGTCTAATTATGAATAAAAACTTTATGAACGCTATCTTTAAATTGAATCATACGATTATCTGACTCTGACAAAAATAACCCTTTCCCCGTCTAACAAAGGCAGAAGCAACAGTGTGATAGAAATTGTGCCCAAGAGACGTTAGTTTGTTCATATGATCCATTCTCGACTATGCTTTTAATAAAATAAACTGCGATGGTTTTTTTACTTCTGCAGAGCATTCAAGAATTGTTCTTTGAACGTCAATCGATTTGTTGTAGAAATTTGAGGGCACAAAACTTCTAGGATTTTTGATATTTCAGCGTGAAGCAAAGTAGTTTAAATGGTAGATTTTCGACATATTAATTTAAATCTTAAAAAATGAAAATTTTGATATGATTACATTTCTTATGTGATTTCTTTAAACACCTTTTGCTTAACTTGAAAAAATGGCAATCCACTCTGAAGAATAGCTATCATGATTGAACGCTTTCCATTTGTCGTTCTTATTGTGAAAGCAATATTAACATTTTTTTGTCAGAATCGTTAAATTCTAAGAATAAAAATGCGTATGCTGGCGATATTATTTGTTGAACATTGATGGCTTTCCTTCGTTTGATAGTTTGATGTCATGGCATATCCATTGTTTAAAAAGAGAGAGAAAAGAGAAAGAAAAATACATCTGTAATGACTTTTTCGACAATAACTTTATCTATAATAGATTTACTCACGTGAGAAAAACAGGCAAAATTGTCAATGTATATATATATATTAAAAAATTAAGAGCAATACACAATTATTGGATATGTCTAAAAATGGAATTTTTGCAGTGAAATATTGCCTAGTAATTAGAGATATCACTTATTTAGAAGTTAAATTAAGAGTTCAAAGCCATTTTGGACGTTTGAGAAATACTTATTATTAACTAATTAGTACAGCGGAAACGATCGTTTTCGGCACACATCTGTCGTTTTAACATCAGGCAGTTGTATTATCCAATATCTTCTCCAGTATAAGAATGTGCAGCAGTCTTTGTGTTGTCATCTATTTCGATGATGCTACCATTCAGCAAGCAATACAGTGCTTATTTCAATGCTAAAAATCACCCATAATTGATGAAAAATAGTATAATGATGATACGGAATAAGTAAGTAATCATAATGCGAGGTATGAAAGCGATAGATAGGGAGAACACCAACGAATATGACAAAATATACCAATGGAATAAGCATTAGAAAACTAAAACTGAAGAACTAACCTCCATCGCCTCTATAAATTTTTTAACAGAAATGGGTGTTCATATTTGATAATCTTATACTTGATTGTGATACTGTAAATGTAAACAGTCTGTCTGCTGTCATTAACACTACGGCTATAGGCAACATCACATCATATATTCGTTTCGCCAACATTGTCCGCTCTGTGACACATTGTACATATAACCATACAGTTCTTGATGTACGTCGAATATTTTCAACTGGCAGTCATATGTTTTATACATGTGCCATAATGAATCTCGAATATTGTTTAACGTAACACATTAAACATTCGCAAGAAATAATAAAAATGGATAATAAAGAAAGATAAGGAAAAACAATTAACATGTGTACATTATCCTTTAAGAGGGTTCTCCCTACTCAGAAATCATTTTCTCCAATACCAGTATTGCATTATACCATATCAAAGTACAGTCTGGAGTATCGAATATCATAACCTATATCGCTTTTCGTCGTCTATCAGATCTTGTACGCGTTTTTCAGAAATTCTATAAAGCTGAGTTCTTGAAACTGAGGAAAATCTTTCACTACGTATCGCACAAAGCGACTTTTTTAAGCATCCATATTTGTCGAAGATACATTTCTCGTTAAAATGTGACATAGCAAAGCTGAGCACATTGCTGTAAGAAAAGGTTATGAGCGTTTTCTACAAGCTCTAAAAAGAGTAATAAATAAACAGCTAGTTTTCTTGATAGCGATGATAGTGCCACATACAGATAGTTGATACAGTGCACCATAACATTTGAATTTCTTTTCTATGAAATATGATTGTTTCATATTAATTACTATTATTTTTTAAATTTCATCATATAGGATAAAATAACGAAAAAGCAAGATACACAAACAAAAATATTTAAAGTAATAAAGAGACAAAAAGAAGCATATATTTACAACTAAATCGTTTCACATAAAAGAATAATCGTCAATTTTTTTTTCTGATTAAATATACTCCTCCAATAAATGAGATACATTTTGTTCTGATTCGATTGACTCTTGAGGTGATGACATTTGAACCATTGATAGTGGGATTCTTCCGCTAAGTGTCGCGCTATAACGACGAGGAGTTTGTCTTAAAATGTGTTTGGTTCGAGTTGATGGTGTAGTATCACTTCCATCTTGTACACCAAGATCCAATGCATTTTCATCTTCCTCGTCGTCAGAGGTTGGTTTTCGAACAATAAGAGATTTATCAATAGATACACGTTTCGGTGTCTAAAGCAAGAAAAAACAAGACAAATGACCATTGAACATGGTTAATATAAATTTATCACCCAGCAAAAATATATTTTACCACATTCAGCAGAATAATGATAGAATTGCGAAAGTAGGTGCTATACAAGGAGAACTTACAGTTAGTTGAATATCCCCCCATTCATCATTGTCTTGAACATTTTTTTCAAATAAATTCGATACATCACCATTCCCACTTGAATGCTCATTATTGTTAAAACGAGAAGAACAACTATTTTTATCTTCAACATTGGAATGAGTACGATAATCATCGAGTTCTCGCTTTAATTGACAAAGCTGGTCTTTTTTCTGATTTAAAACCAAAATAAATTTCTTAAACAAATCATCTTCCGTTTGTTTTTTAATATTAACATATTTACTTAAAAGTTTTAATGTATCAGCCCTTTCACATTTAATACAATCAATTTCTTTTAATAATTTTTTATTTTCTTTTCGTAAATTAATTGTTCTTTCAATATTATAATTCATCATATCACGTAAAATAGTTACTACGTCCTGACTTTGAATTAAATTCGTTTCTCCAACAATAATACTCGGCATATCATCGTCTACATCTTCTTTCCAGGTCAACGTTAAAATATTTTTTTCTTCTTCTTGATTCATTTTGCATGTATAAACATATTTATTAATCGATGTTGTTAAGTTGTTCTTAAAAGCATTTATCGTGTCATGTAGGTCACAAACATTTGCCAGTTGAGTTGTACCGACCCATGCATGTATCATATCTGTTAATTCAAGATCAAATGATAGCGACGATGGATCAATTGAACCTTTTAAATAATATTCCTTTTTATCTTCACATTTGATTTTGGTAGAAAACCATATCTTCTCAAGACCATTTGGTTTATCCATTCTGAAAATGTAATAGTCTGTAGGCTGGTGAAAAAAAGTATTCGATTTCATGCACTTTTATTATGTTAGAAAAATTATCGGGCAAAACTTCTGAAGAAACTCGAACCTAAATTAATCTTTTGCGAATCTTTCTGTCGTTTTTATTACTACTGCCACTGAGATATTTACTATTCTATACTAAAGAGAGCGCTGTCTTTACAGGTATTATAGTAAGAGTAGCAAGGATCAAAAGAAGTAAGAGAGATTCGCAGAGCTTCATTTGCGTCTTAATTTCTCTAATACTTCATTCAATAAACTACATTTTTCCAACATTATAAAAGTGCATGAAATAAGAAACGTTTTTCATCAGTCTATAGACTATAAAGAAAAAATGAAGTAAAATGTTTGTTTCTCGCTAGCCGTTAAATAACAGCTATTTTTGACGGATGACGAATATCAGAAATCAAACAAAAAGTAGTTAAAACTTTGTCTCTTCTTTGAAAAAATGCTGTTCATGTGACATATTATATACAGATTATAGTCGATGAAAAAAAATTGTTTTACTCTCTCAAACAATTCTTCAATGAGATTTACAAAGTATGGAGCCTTCAGTATGATGTATAGGTGTCGCGCTATAGAGCAGCGAAGTACAGAAGAAAAAGATAAACGTAATCGACTGATGATAGAACTCATTATTTTAACACTACGTTATTAACTTCGTTTGTTAGATCGAATCATAAAACGAACATTGTGAGTTTGAACCAAACAATTCCGTTTTGTAATGAAAAAGGGTTTTTATGATGTTTATCATTTGGCGGATGATTAGATATGCCTTCAGCATTTTTATATTTAATTGAATTCTTGTTTCGTAGATATATACATAGTTTGCTTCTTTGCATTACGCCTTTACGTTGTCTGAATAAACATCTAACCTAATACTACAGAAAATATTTCTTTTTCGTTTGATTTAAATGATAACATTTTGCATGTTGTGCAATTACATAGACTATAAGTCTCTTGTTCGTTCTGAATCCCACCTGAGTTTCTTCCCCTTTCAGAAAAATAAAATGCAGGAAGAGAAACTATGCTGCGCATAAAAATGTTTTACGTAGCCATCAAGGCTGCTGCTAACAACGAAAGCGTACGGCTCAAGATTAGTGTAGGTAAAAACTAGCAATAGCGAATGAAGAAATATTCTCATAGTTTTTCCAAGGATTTTAAGCCTTTTAACTGTGAAGTGAAATCACTCAATTAATGAAAACAAAATATTTCTCACTGCTGAAATTAAAACTTTTTGGTTTTTTACCACTGAAAATTCTAGAAAAAAGAGATTTCATGCTATTTTTGCAAGAAATTTTTTTATTCCTCTTTCCGCAAAATCGGGCTTCGATACGTCTTGTGTTTACAGGTATTCACCTTATGTAAACAACTCTTTCGCATTTTAAGAGAGAACAAGAAAAATAAGGAGTAAACTGTATGCATGTATTAACTTATGAAAAGTTAAAATTTTCGGATTGTGACTGCTTCGAGGTCAGATAAAGAAAATGAAACTGATGTAAGTTTTTTCTTATACAGAAATACTTTAATAACCATCTTTTGAATAAAAAAATTAAGCTTTTTAGCATTCAATTTGGCTTCTTCTCTGGGCATACATTAACGAACTACATGGTACAGCTTCGTAGTTTATGATGTTGTAATTAGTTTCGATCCACTTTTCCATTACTTACTAGTTATAAACATTTCGAAACACAGCTCATGCAGTCCTAGTTAAGATACGTTAAAGAATCCACACGCAATCAGAAAAAGTTGTCGTGTACAGGACGTGATAAGATATTGGCTATCGAACACTGAAAATCGCACACCTCTCGTATGTTGCGTTCTCTAGTTATTCAAAAAATAGTTAGTTACATTCTTTTTTGGCGCCGATAGTAGAACAGTGCAAAGTACTTTTTCCTTTTCGACTTTTTTGAATTGTTGCATGTATCAAACCTAGTGCCAATTTTCCAAAAAGTAGGTCGTTTGGCTAGACCTTAGAACACTTGAAACTTCCAGGTAAGATTAAAAATTCGCTATTCTGACAGCTCCAAAACGTTTGAATTTACAACTGTTGTCTAATGTTAAAAACAAAATAGCATTAAGATTGTTCGAATATCGCAACAAGGAATTCTTACTTCCAGACTTCCAGATGTTAGTCGCACTACTGAGGTCTACTTTTCAAAAAGTAGAAACTTTGACAACTTATCAGTCTTTTTGGAACAGAGTTACGCAGCTACAAATACAAATAAAACTCATTTTGACAGATTTTACCTACATTGTCTCTTCGACTTCAAAGTTGGAAAAATATGCAAGGCTTTTTCTAGATATATACTAGTACTCGAGAAAAACCTCTCGAATCGTTTTCTTTTGAAAAAGTAGTGACTTATCGAAAAGTCGACTTGACTGGTAGAACTAGCATTTGAAAGCAAACGGTCGTACAGAATTCACTCTTGCGACAATTCGAATAAGCTTTAGTTTGCGAAGACACCGCTGTTTTCAGTTCTATATCTAGTCCTATCCTATACAAAACTATGCCTTCTACTGCACAGTTGAGAGCCTTGTCCTGTCCCATCATTTCACTTTCCGACCACATCCTTTCCTTCCCCATAAATATCCTTCAGTAGAACATCAAACTTCCATTCGAGCAAACACGAAATGTTGTAACTCATTTACCCAACTTCCAGCTAATCAGATGGCGAGTGTGCTGATAAGTGTAGTTGGGTAACCGTGCCTTTTGCATTATGTTTACTTCTCTTATCTTCTTGCAGATCGCTAGCGAAGAGGAATTTCGTTGCATTTGTTGGTGCAGTTGGACAACATATTTTTGTCATTCATCCTGGATCTTGTGATAGAAAAAATGTTGCATTCCAATCCTCTAGGTCAGTATAATTCGATCAGACTCTAGAACAAGCTTTTGTGTTATTTGCTCTTCACATAAGACACCAACGTTGGTTTTCGTTGTTGGAAATGCCGATCCTGAGGAGTTTTCTGATTGTGCCTGGATTTTCCAACTTGTCTTAATTGTGTTCTGATATATTTACAACTAGTAAGTAATGGAAAAGTGGGTGGAACTGCGCGGAAATACCTTTAAGTCACCTGAGAAGAAGCTGGTCACTAGAATACAAACATGACAATATTCTTTATACTCTTTTTCAGAAGGTTATCGAAATATTCCGTAACTGGTAAATTTCGATGTTTATTAATCAGTTTATGGCTTATCATAGGAATATTTTACATTCATCTTCGTAAACATCCGGATAACATCAGGCGACTAAAGTCAAAGAAATCGTTGCTAAATAATCCGACATTCAACGGTAACCGCATATCTTATTGTTCATCAAATAATTCTCAAACGCCAATATTATGGGAGAATTTGATTTATTTACCGCATTTGAATGTTCTCTTTTGTAACATACCAAAAACAGCGTCTACAAATCTTCGCAGAATACTATACTTAACATTCAATACAAACTTTTATAATCGTAGTAAAGAGGAAAATATTCTCGAATTAGAAAAGGTGAATCGTGCTCAAGTATGGTTCAATATTGAAAGACAAATGTTCGATCCATATTATCTCAAAAATTATAGAGATTTAACTCAGCGTCTCGAGATATTGGAATCGCCTTCTATATTCAAATTTATCTTTGTAAGACATCCATTTCAACGTATCTATAGTAGTTTTCGTGATAAATTTCAAAATGACAATGTCGATGATACAATGTTTGGCTGGAAAGACTTGGAAGAAGATATTTTAACAAAAATGTCTAATAGCACGTTAACATGGATTCGCAGGAATGACATAAGATTGGATTTTGACACATTTTTGAAGTATATCGTATACTGTATTCAGCATGATCAAGAACTGAATAGTCATTGGGATTTAATTTTCCGACGTTGTAGTCTGTGTCACATTAACTATGATTGGATTGGAAAATTCGAACGAATCGAGAAGGATGCATCAAAATTATTAGAAAAATTCAATATAAGTGACAAAGTGAGTTTTCCATCATGGAAGTTAGATCAACAAACAAAGTACAGAATAGACGAAGATGATTTGTTAAATTTATTCATCAATAATGGACGTAAAGAATATCAAACATTATCAGATTATTATAAGCAGGATTTCATAGCATTCAACTATACTATCCATGAAATATAATCAAAATATTCATCAATGTGAACACAATGGCAGGTGTGGTTAACATTCTGTGCTGATCGATAGAGAATTAGTGCAACATATCATCAAATGATAAAACTGAATCGTCATATTTTCATTTCTATGTTTTACTCAAGTGTGCACTTAACATATCTAGTATATAGAATATTTGGACATTTATAATTCATAGAAATAATGAATGTTTATCTAAAGAGCAAGAAAGATTAAGAGTTTTTTAAAATGTTTCATTACTAAAAAAATCCATACCAAATGAAATCAAACTAAAACAAAACAAAAAAATTCTAACAAGAAAACAATATAAATAACATTTTGTCCAAAGATAAATAATATTATGAAAAAGTACAACAAGGAAAACAGATCGTAATTCCATATCTATTCAATAAAGGTAACACCTATCATAATGAGTACACCAACAACCAATGCTACGATTTCATACACTGATTGTTTCAAACCAACATTTGTTTTTAATAATTCTGGTATAACGGAGACAGTAGCAATATAAATGAAACCACCAGCTGTAAATGGTAAAAATGTTTGTGTAGCAAATAGATCTGCACCCGTCGAATGAAATAAAAGACCAACTAAACAGCCCAGAAATGCACCAACAGCAGTTAACAATTGTAATAACATGGCCTAAAAGAAATGAAAATAAAGATAATTACCATTTATAGAGAATATATTACTAGTCTACCTTTTTTCTACTACAACCATTTTGTACTAAAATAGCATAATCACCAACTTCATGTGGAATTTCATGAAGAAGAACAGCAAATGTTGTGACGAGACCTAAAGACAAACACAAAAATATTAGTAGTACATAGAACAGATGCAAACCATTAGAATCAAACACTATCTTCCTTGTTGACTTTTATCATTATCTCAGGAGATATTTTATTTTGTCGTTCACTTGACTAGTGAACTAATTTAAAATTGAACACTTAGGCGTTGTATACCAGTTCCTCGCCAGTATATTCACTGAAATATTTCCGTCTGTTAGTTAGAATATTGCAAAGTCTGTAACATCCGTAAGAATCTTTGTTGTACAAATCTACGTGTCATTTTCTCCTAATAAATGAAAGTTATTTAAGCTCACCAACACTTTGTCCTGCTATATAAGATGATCCAATTGCTAAGCCATCCGTGAAATTGTGTAGAGCGTCAGCAAACAAATTCAAATAACCCGATATTTTTATTTCATTAACAACATCTAAATTTAGATATTTATATACATAGGCAACAGCAATATTATTTTCATCCGTACCATTTGTATGTTCATGTTCTTTTTTCGACACTACAGATTGTTTTTCCTTCGTCAAGCTTTTTGGTTGTGTTACTGTTGTTTTTCGTGACTTTAAACCTTCGTCACTTCCTTCTTTTGTTTTTTTCGTTTTACTTTTATTGTTATCATCCGTTGTTCCTATATCTTCGTTTTTATGCTCATCGTCACTACTGTGTTTGTCTTTTTTATTTGATGTTTTCTCTACGGAAATTCCAGAAACGTGAGTGTGTGAATGGCTGTGTCCATGACCTACAATAAAAACTATTCAATATTCAAGCTATTTGAGTAACTTAACTTTGTGCGAGCGCTGCGTCTTAGTCAAAAAGTACACTAAAACCATTTTATTTTGATTTCAATGTGAGCTAGTTTTGTTGCGCGAAACAAACGTCCTATTTACCTTTGATATGTCGTACGAGTTTTTCCGCAATTAAAAAGAAGAATATTCCGGCTAATACATTTAATCCTACTCCTAAATCATGACGATGAGCGCCACTCTCTGCTGTCGATGACGAATGTGAATGTGAATGAGTGTGCCCGTGACCTGTACCATCAGTTTGGTACGATGATACAGCATGTGGTATTAAATGTAAAAATGCATCACCCAACAAACCACCAGATGCAAAACTTAATAAAATTTTTAAAGAATTTTCATTATGAACCGGTAAGACTAGGAGAACGACAACGGGAGCTAAACTAATTGCTAATGTTGATAATAATGCGTAAGATACTACACTAAAATAGAAAAAGAACTTGTACGTGAAAAGAGAAAGGTTGCGCGGCATCTAGATGGGAAAAAATATATAGATAGAGTTTTCAAACTACTAAATATTAAAAAAATATATTTTAAAGTTTGCATTCTTAAATTTATCAGGATATGAATTATTTACATTCACAGTGTCGTAATATTTCTTGCGAAAACTTTGTTACCTACCTAAATGGTGGTGCTAACCCAACTTCATCGTCATCATCAACTCCATCATTGTAGTGTGGAGGAGGAAACTGAGTATACTTTTGACCAGTAGATTCATGCGAATGCCCATGAGCCATCTGTTCCCCATGTGAATGACCAAATCCTCCATGTGTATGTCCATGATGTGCATCCTCGTCTAAATACAAAAAAACAAGGTGAAAATACTTATATTGACACTAGGTGGACACTACACAACTACTCTTAAAATGAATTCAAAATCTTCGTATTGTTCTTCAACAAGGCGCAGTAAGTTTTGTTTTTAGCAGAGATGACAGAGTGCGAGAATGTTCACTTTGCAATGAACATTTGTTTAGAATTTGGCACGCGTTCACAGATCTTACCTCCACCATGTGAATGTCCATGATGGCCTTCTTCTGCTGCTTCATGTGAATGTCCATGATGATGTTGTTCATTTGCTTGTCGAGAATATTTGAATGATGGATTATCAACCTGATCGTGATCGTGATCATGGTGGTGGTCATGTTGATGAGCTTGAAGACATCCAAGACATGAAACTGAAACAATAAACATGAACAAAAACACGATGTGATTCCGCATAATTGATCTAAAACAAAGATGTGAACAAAATTTTAAGTGTCAAAGTACAAAAGAAGAAAATCTCCCTAACATGACTACAAGCTTTGCTTAATACGTACGAAATAGAGGATCTTAAGTTCAGATCTCGAAAAGCTGCTTAGACGTGACAATTTTAAGATGTAGAAGTGGTATTACCTCTAACCTTTATATCTATACTGACCAACTTGTTGTATTTAAGAATTAGCAGAAACATAGCTTCTTATTCCTAATTAATCATGGAGGTTTTTATGACATTTTCTAGGACGACTAAAGATCGACTAAAGATGAATTTACTACTGCTCACCCTGCGTTTTACAGAAACTGGACTGAGATTATAAGTCGAATGGATTTACATAAATTGACTCTAAATGACATATGGACTGGTCCCATTTCGAACTGAGCTAATAGATATACTAAGTCCAAATAACGGAGGTTACTGTGCAGATACGAAACAATTCTATTCGAATACTACGTTTGATTTATTCGCAAACTTGTAACTCGTTCAAAAATTTCGAAGACATTAACAAATTCCGATGTTTAGGTACAGACATTCTTTGTGTTCTGAGTCCAGTGAATTAATAATCACTTAACAGCTATGTTTTTTTGATATGTGTAATCATTCCCAAAGTAAATATTGAACAACTCAAGATATTACTTTTCCGCAAATGAGCACGTAGTTTACTCTTCGAATCGTCAATTAACCTTAGACGTCATGTGACGTTAAAGTAATCATAACACTGACAAATTCGAACTTCTTGATTCTATTTGGAGAATAGGATCAAATATTTTCCAGACTTATCTATATATTTCTAACGGCAATTCTTGCTCTGATATGAGAATATATCAGCGATTAAAATCTTTTTCAGATTATTTAGTGTATGCATTACTGGCTACTTTCAAATGAGTTAACAATGAAATGTTTCATGGATTCTCATAAACGCAATGTCACATACACTACTGCTGATGGTTATTCACCGATAATAAATTCAATAACGAGGATTTGGAGTAATTTATTTAACATATCTGAAACGATTGAGAATTAAAATATATATTCATGTTTGTCATCAAACACGATAATACGTCTATTAAATATTCTAATCAATACAAAAAGCTAACGGTATATCATATTTGTTCTCATTTTTGATCTATGAGATAATCAAAAGCTAGACAACTCTCATGGTTATTGTTTATGATTAAAATGCCTACTTTTTTCATTTTTTGTTTTCTCAACAAGAATAAAGTATACACAAGAATGCACATTTTTAAAGATCAGGAAAAAACGGAAAAAAAAATACTAACATTTGATAGAAAAACAAACAAAAAGTAGTGGCACCTAAGATAAATATTTATAAGTATTTCTGAAGTGCGTGTACATCTATGAACGAAAAATGAATAATATGCAAAGGAAGAACTTGCAACAAATCACCCAACAGTAACAAAACATGAGTGGAATAAAAATTGTAAAGGCTCATGGAAATTTACGTTAATGTGACTGGTCTAATTCGATCCATACATGTTTGTACATTTGACCTTATAGTCTTTTATCTCTCCTTATTTACTACTAATTAAGTGAATATGCTTGTATCAACAGCAACAAGTCGGAGTTTCACAGGAGATGTGACATATTTCATGTTGGTACCATTTTTTACTATCGCATCAGCTAATAACAATATCATAGATAACAACTCCTAACATTCAAAACTAAATATCTTTTCGATTATTTCACTGACGGACCACGTAGGAAACGTCCAGTTATTTTTATACTCTAACATCCATCTCGTTATCAGGAAGATTGAAAAGAAAGAAAAAATAAACATCAAACCAAGCGTAGAACACGTGAAATGTGTTTTACTCAACAAAAGTTGTTCGCTCAATACAAACGAGCAAAACACAACAGCAACAATGTTAAATAGCATTGCGTGTTTTTACCACTTATCACAGTTCAACATACACACACACACACTCTCTCTCTCTCACACACACGCACACACATTACACATAAAGGATAAGCGAAAATCCCAAAGCAACAAACAAAAAAACAAGGGTTCTCTATATCTATATAAAACAAGAAAAACAGTTTCTTTCTTTTTTCACTCTCAGTGTGTATCATTCAAAATGGAAACAACAAATTACAAAGGCGCAAATGTACAAAACGTAAAAAATTTCAAGAAAAGAAGAGAAAAAAGTAACTGTTTTTTTCATCAAGATAAATACATAGATAAATAGATTGATTGTTTTTTCTGGATTTATTTCAAAATCCTTTGTCGGGATCGGTCATATGTCGAGAAAGATCTTTTAGCATTCCAAATGCACGAATACGTTTACGACCTAAAAGATGAGAAAAACAACTATAATGTATTTTTGTGGATCTTGAGATAAAATAATCTTAGTCCCGATCGAAGAAAAGTGCCAAAGTTGAAAAGAAATCTTTTCTCACCAAATAACTTGGATAATTTTTCATCACAATTAACAAATTGTTTATTCTTTGTATCCTATAAAGAAATGAAATGTTTTTTAACATAACTAAAAAGTCTTATTCTCACAACTTACCATTAAATTATGTTCTTTAAAATATGCCCACATTCGTTTGACTACTTCTGATCTTGGCATCTTTAATATACCCAAATAAAATAATACTGACCGTATCATTAACAAAATAATTTCTTACCTGATGTCCACCGACGACACTGGCTAATTCATCTGTTAAGTCTAGTTTTTTATGAAAAATAGTTCTACGTTTTTCACTTGTTGTCGACGATGTTTGATCCTTTTTCTCCGATTTGTTCTTCTTTAACGGCCTCTAAACATACAAACAACAAACAAAAATTGATGTGTCGGCTGCATCTTCGAGAAAGAGCTAAAGAAGGGCCCGAATAGGATAAGAATCGCTTGAACAAGAATCTTTTGCTCGACGCACATTAGTGGCCTGACTTTGTCTTCAAAAAACTACATAACAAATTATACCAAAAGTGATCAGACACCATGTCTTTTGTACATAAAGCAGTGGATAAAAAGAAACGACTATGAGAGATGAACCACAAAAGAACAACTATTGCTTTTTAGATAATTCCACAAGAAAAGAATATTTGATTCATATATTCATTGTTGTTACTTGTCAAGTAGATCTTTACCTACCGTTTGCCTTTTATGTCTTAAACTTGGTCTGTTTTCTTGTTGATGAATTTCCATTGCTAGCTCTTCATCGGATTTTGTCGAATTCATTTTTGTTTTTTCATCGACGTTTCTATTTACATTATCCCTTGTTAGATGCGAAGGTGATGAATTTTTTTTCTGTGATCTTTTTTTCGCTTTTGACTTTTTTGTTGAAGGTGGTGAAGCTTTTAACATTTCCTCTTCATCTTCGGATGTTGTTGGTGACGGATGATGATTATTACTTTCTTGTTGATCTTGATGTTTTTGATCGTTTTCACCTAAATAAGTTGAAATGAACTAGAATTATAAGTAATAAAGAAGACAAATGTTTCGAAACAGGTATACTTCCACATTAAAGCTGAACTAAAAATGAAAATAAAATAATTAAAACTTACGAGTTATTTCGGCCATTAGAATGTCGTCAATTTCTTTTTTTCTTTCGGTAAAATCACATTTAAATAATGTTTCCAACATTTGTCTAACTTTTTTCGATGATAACGTATTTAAATCGGCATCTTTCAATATTAACTGAATTTCGGTTCGTAATTGATTTGCATCAATATCCATTGTCGATAATGATGATTACAAAATAACTAAGTGATAGAAAAAGATCTAAAGCTAAAAAAATCTGATTTAATCATTATCTTGTATGGATACAGTTTAGTAAAACAGTAATCGATACGAGGATGAAAAGAAGCCAATATTGAATAAGACACCAGAGATGTAGGCATCGTTCTTCAACCTTTAAACGGCTATACCAAATTCTAAAGCACTCGTCGATAATAAACGTTAAATGTCGTAAAAATAAAAGAGAGAACAGGATGAAGGTCTTTTCTAAAGAAATGCATAATATCGTACAAAAATATTGCTTGACAAAAAATGATGAATATTTTTACATTTTTATATCATCTAAATTCTTAACTGTAATAATCCTTTCGCAAGATTAAACGTTGAAACCCAGCATCTTTAACGACGAACATTGTATTAATGGACGGTGATTTCGAAATGCAATTGTAACTTCTACTGTATCAGCAGCATTTGAATTCGGATATTGCAATTCTTGCTTAAACCTTAAATAAGTAATTTTTCTTATACCATCGGTTAAACAAGTTCCGTTTGTGATTGGAATCATAGTTCTGCAGTTATTTAATTAATGATTCAATGAAAAATAATTCACATAATAGTTAGAGCGTCTTGTTTGATAAAATATTCATGTGTGGTAATTATTTTGACTTACAAAAGTTCATATAACATTGGCGAGCTCAATTACTTCTATGTCGATGACTTAAACATCATATAAGCAATATATTCCCAAAGGATGCCACAATCAACAACAATAAGGCGGAAAAATGCGTGTTATCGCACCTCAGGTGGCAACCCCGATCTCCTCCACTAATCATTCTAAACTGACCAAAACCATATTTTTTAGATTCAGAGAAAAATTAGAAATAGCTTGTTTTTCATATGTCTCTTCCATTCATAAACTAATCATAGAAAGGTAATGGTTGTAGAGTTCAATGAAAAAAATGAAGAAACATCAAACGTACGTAGACCTGATGAATACGATTGAATCCTAATGACATAAGACTCTAAATCTGTTGAGGTTTCTTTAGACTAATGTCCAGCATGTGCGTTAGAACGTTATTGCAGCGGAGATAAATTATAATTCAAACACAAGAACAGAAAAAAGTCATGGAAAATTTCAGTTTTCTCATTCAAACTCTGATACTACCATTTCTGCTCATAATAAAACATCGTTCAGTATTGTCGTGTTTAAAACAACATCGGGACGTGCGTAGAACAGCACAACATTGTTGCTTGTTATGCTGTGTGACCGTGAATGTGCTAGACCATATTTATGCCAGTCATTTCTTTTATCGTTCCTTGCTTTTGGTTACATCAGGATACGCAACACCAGCAGTACGCCAATAAGAATTAAAGACAAGGGTAGGAGAACTCTCAAATCTAATTATTTCGAGTGTACTCCGACTATTATGGTAAAACAATCCATAATGGGAATCGGACTTCTAGTTTTTGTTACACAAACATTAAATGTACCGGCCACTATTTTCCTCCAATAAAGAGCGCTTACCATGCCTCAATCAATCTTACAGAATGCTAAACATCTGTAGGTAACGGCGGAAGATAAAACCTATCGGTTTTCTCTTTTTTTTGTTTTCTGAAGAGGTATTTTAAAACACTTTGCGACTAATGTTGAGATATATTAGCGCTGATAATCAGCGTCCTCTACCGTTACTTTCATCGTCGAGGTATTTGGATTAGCAATTACTCTAGTGGATGTACTCCCTAGAGATCGTACTTGAGGCCAAGTACTTGGACCAACGTCTGTGTAATGAAGCCGGTACTTGCCTTTTTTCCAGAAGTAAATTTACTTGCAAGTACTTGTCCTTACTTGACAAGTACTTGCAGAAAGTCCTTCTTACGAGGGTATCTCCCGAGGTGACACCCTCCGTTTCTAATGAGTTATAACTCAATCGATAGAGTATATCGAGCTAATAAAAAGCCTAAAAGGATTCGTGCCCCTTACTTTTGAAGACCCGGTTTTCTGAAAAACCAGCTTTTCAGAAACTCTAAAACATAACCAAAATCTTTTCTTAGTGATACATAATTGTAGCCCGCACATTTCTGATTAAAATGAGACATTTCCCAGCTCTGCACGACCTTTCTTCGCAAGAAAAGCCCTGTATGTTTATTGTCACCTCAAAGCTACGGAAATAAGAAGAGATTAATTTAGGGCTTTTCTTTTAAATTCTATAACTTTGCAAAGAAAGGTTGTGTAGAGCTGGGAGATGTCTCATCTTAATCAGAAATGTGCGGACTACAATTATGTGTCACTAAGAAAAGGTTTTGGTTATTTTTTAGAGTTTCTGAAAAACTGGTTTTTCAGAAAACCGGGTCTTCAAAAGTAAGGGGCTCGGATCCTTTTAGGCTTTTTATTAGCTCGATATACTCTATCGATTGAGTTAGAACTCATTAGAAACGGAGAGTATCACCTCGGGAGGTTCCCTCGTTAGCAATAAGGCAAGTATTTTGATCGTTGACAAGTACTTAGCAAGTAATCAAGGTACTTGCATCAAGTACGTTCTCTAGGGGCTTAGTCCCAAATATTCAGAATAAGTACTTTGCTTGGGTAATGAAGTCGGTACATGCCTTTTTTCCGGAGGTTAATTTATTTGTTAGTACTTGCGTTACTAGATACGTACTTGAACAAGTCCCTACTGAAACTTCTTGTACCAGAGATTTGGAGGGAATCGAGTCAAAGTATTCTAATGAAAATCAAGATCTTTACAAAACTTAAGAAATTTCAAGACGTTCAAGATCTTACTGGAAAAAATTCAAGAAGTCGAGATCTTTGTTACAAGAAGGGATGCCTGTCAAGCAGAACTGTAGGCACTTAATAATATAACCAAATATTACAATCTTGGAGAAGTATCTGTAAAAGTTCAGGGTAAGTAAATGGTTTTGAAAATACCTACCAATTTCTCCAAGTAATTACCAAATGATCAAGTACGTTCACTACCCAGGTTATCGAAAACGATGTCTGTTAAATACCCACCAATAACCCATTCACTGTTTGTTAAATGGATATTTGGCGACCATTGAGACAATTCTTTGACTGCTTTTAGGCATTTAAAGTGAGAACATTTTAATGCTAAAAGTGGCAGCTTTTGTACAGTCAAAAACCGGACGTTTTATGATGTCTAGTTCGAGCCTAGTTTTGCATCATTACGGACTGTTGACGATCTGCAGCTCGAACGTTGTGTGAAGATAGTTTCTTTCCGCGTGATTGATAAACCGACAAAGACTGAATTCAAAAATGTTACTATTTTTGGTTCAATGGTACCATCACTACTACTAGTTATAGGACTAAAGGCTACTTCGTCCAGACAAGTTTCGATGACTTGTATAGTTGAAGAAGAGAAGAATTTTTTTCTCAAAAGAATCAGTATCATATTCATATTAGTCATAATATCAACACCAAAGGCTGAATGATTTGTTGACAAATGGTTGAGCATTGACATTTAACTGTCCATCATAAATGCTCATTGTTTCAGGATACATCGACTATTCATAGCGCCCTATAAACAGACAGTTTATAGGGCGCAACATCCGATTATTAACAACCGATGTGAATCTCGATTCTAAGTACATATAGTTAAATATCTTTTCAGAACAGAGTCTGTTAGACCATGATTCACGTTGAAATAACGACCAACAAACGGTGACTGTTAACAGGCAGTTTTTGACAGTGTTTAGCTGATTAAAAGTCAATTTTTTAGTCATACAATAAATATTCTATACATGAGTTAATAAATGGCAGTTTTCGTTGACCTACACTGTTTATTTCATTTTCTACAATAACATTTTTCTAAAAGTGTGTTTTCTGATTGGTTTCTGATAAGAGGTATACTTTTCTTTTGTGTGTCTATAAAAAAAAGGTAAGACTACACAAACAAAATTCGAAACAAAGTTAGATCAACTTGCTTACACAAAACTAAAACTAAAACTATGTACAAAAGACGAAGAAAAATAGCATCAGAGATTAATCCGCACTTCGATTGTTTTCAAACATATTTTCTTGAAACCACGATGTAATCAGCATGAAAGAAATTTTTATATGTAGGTCGACCGTTGGTTTGTGTACAAATTTCTTTGGTATATCGTCAAGATAAAATTTAAGTAGTCCATTTCAACCTATCATTTCTTGGAGCTGTTCACTTTGTGGACGGTATGTGCATAAAATATTACTTAATGCATTATGTTAAACATTTTGATAAACGTTGTTTATTTTTATCTAACAATGAATTGTATTGGGTATAATGATAATCCCACTGCTGATATCGTGATTGCCATTCACGGAATTCTTGTTTCCATAATTTTTCATCGTCACTGACATTGGCTGAAAGAAGAGAGAACAAATGCAGATATTTTCTCAAAGATCGAAATCGAACCGAAAAAGATCATGATCAATCATGATGCGCACGATATGTAAATATGTGACATAAATATATAGTTTCTGTATCTTTGGCTAGTTACTATCAAAAAAATTTAGTGTCCATTTTCAAAAAAAAGATTCAACTTCTAATACTTAATCACTAGGAAAATTAAAAAAATATACAGTTTTTAAACCATATATATCACATTCTCTAATATATTTCGTTTACACATCTTTTCTACGAGTAGCCATGCTCTAAGCCATCAAGTCGAGATTTTGGGTTAAATAGAGAATATGTTTCTATACATCATATCATGATTGCTATCAAGCGGTTAGTCTCACTGAATCACCTTAAAAAGTAAGTAAAAATGATATCAGAATATCAATATTCATTGTATAATTTGATTTTTTCTTTCAAAATAAAAAATGTTAAGATGAATAACGACATTGAAAAATTTTATGCACACTTTTATCTTTCAACTAAAGCATAATATACAAAAGACTGTAGTTCGACTTACATGTGACAAGCATTAATTTTGGTATATAATCAAGCCAAAATGAACAATATTCCGCTCTGATAGCTTGACCATGACCTGGCGGTTGCAATGTTGTATTCAAAATTATATGTTCTCGTGAAGGCCATTTATATAGACGCCAGTCATTGGCCCATTTAGATTCATGACGTTGATTAGGATTACTAAAATAGATTAGAAAAAGCCACGAACTATCACTGTTTCAATCTTATTATAAATAAAAGTGTGAAAATAATAAAATATGGATCAGGTTTAATAATAAATATATTTTTCTCTAAATATTAGTTAGTATATGAGTAAAAACATTTTTTTCATAGGCAAGATCACAATTGTTTAGTGACTTCAGAGTTATCAAGTATTATCCATTATTAAGTCATATTTTTTCCAGTTTGCTCTTATGTGTTAAGTTTGTTATTATGTGTCAATAATAATGACGCGGTATAAGAACTCAAGTTGTTGACATTATTCGTAAAGTGACTTCTTTTTAATACATTATACTGTAGAGAATTTAAGGAATCGTCTAACTATAGCTGACATTTAATCGACAGACATGATGCATACATAAACCAAGTGATACTAAATGCTACATTTTTATGACGTTTGAATATCAACTTGCGGGAGTTACTGTTAAATTAATACGTCATTCAAAAAGTAGAGGAAAAAAAAAAATGATCTTTTAAAAACATCAATGATATGCTAACCCTGTGTGAGTGACATTTGACATGAATCAGAACACCTGGCGAAACATATGGAAACGTTACCGTAATATTATTGTAAACAATAATAATTGATCATCTTCCTGCTGTTTGTTTTTTCAAACTTAACAATTATTAGCCTACTTGAAAAAAATAAGATGTGTAAAAAAACATGCTAGTTAATCTAATATTGTTTATATGATCAAATTTCAAAGAAAAAAAAATAATTGAAATATGAATACTACCGATGATAGTTGAAATGAGTATTTTATACAATCAAGAATTTTATAAAAATCTTTTTTTTATATTTTATAGTTTATGAAAAAATTAGATAAAACAATAGAAAAATTGTCATTTCATCTGGCAATAAAAATCGGTCAACAGATGGTTATGGACAGTTCCTTTACTCTGATAAACTTCTTTTACTTAAAAAAGAAACGATAATGTACATGTTTACAAGAAAACAATGTTTTATAATAAATCATCATTGTTCTTAATTTTAGAAAATTTTGTGTCAAACGTAAATCGTATACATATATATATTGATGATAGATAGGTTAATCAAATTGTACATAGATCAATTATGAAATAGAGAATATATCTACTACAACTACTAGATAAACACATATGTTTTCACCCACAATTATTCACAAGAGCTGTCATCATAACGATTTGTTGTACTCATTAAATAATCCTTTTAATTATACAATACGACATATATCTGTAAATAAGACATGGAAGAACATTTTTTTTTCGTTGTAAAACCATATTTTTATTGCTAACAATTTGTTTCTATTGAACAAAATTCTCAAATAACATAGTTAGAATTAAAATACCTTGATTAATTTTCTATAATTTAACGGGGTTTATTATAATCAAGTATATTCAAAGTAGAAAATAAATTAATTTATAAATATATCATTTTAAATGAAATAAGTTTTCATTTATTTTTCTCTTTCTTAGACTGTATAAGATATATATTATTAATATACACACACATATATTTGTGGTTTAAGATAATTACTGATATAGTATCTAATTGTCTCGCATAATATACGTTAATTTTTAATCATAATAATCTAATTATAAAATATGAATATATATATTTTCTAATGCATAATAATTGAATTATAGTAAAGAAAAAGAAATTATTCTTTTGATTTTATATCAGATGAGAGTATACCATTGGACATAATGAAGAATTTAGATGAATTTTCAAAAAAAAAATTAATATTCAAACGATGGATATTTTAAGACAAATTTATACTCCATAGGGTGACAGTAAATATGTTCATTCTCGTTTCTTACCTATATTTGGCAAAATTTGTCCAATATGTCATCATTTTTTTACTTGTTTGAATTTCTTCATTTGTATATTGTAATTCATCCGTAATATTTAACGGTTCACCAAATACAAACATAATTTCATCAGCTACAATGAATTTATAGAAGAAATAATGTCAATAAAATTATTTTTATATAAAAAAAAAACTTACCATGTAAAACTCCCATCCATTGATGCCAAGGTGACACAGAAGCACGTAAAGTAAAATGGTAAAAATACACCGGTATCTCAGCTTGGGCATAAATATCAGCTAAATATACTGTCGGACAAGTAAAATGATAATCACCTAAATAAATAGATAAATAGTTTTTATGAGATACTTTCTCGAATCTTATGAACATTTTCTAAATATTTTGCTCATATTTTTTGCACTTAATCCTATAAAATGTAAAATCCTATAAAATTATTATGTAAGATCTAAAATTTCTATGATTTTTGATATAACTTTGCTAAGATCTTACGACTAGATACGACTTTTTTTACAATCTTACTGAGAATTATAAAGATTTTTGATTAGATCCATTACGATTCATTCAAATAGTTTTGAATAGTTTGCCTAAGTGCTAATAAATTTCTTTTACATAGCCAACTTTTAGTTTGCCTCAGCAATCGTAAACTACTAAAGATTATAGTTAATACGAAATTTTATAAGATTTTTGAAAAATTTAGTGAAAAATCAATAAAAGTTTCATATTTTCTTGCGTCCATTCCTCGACGTCAATTTTCATTACACTTTGTACTTGTTGTAAAATTCATTCAGATTTCAAAAAAGTGATATCTTAACAGTATAATTTCAGGAAGTAGTCAAGATTCTTATTTGGAAAAAACTTAAAAAATAATTGCAAATGTGGGACAATTTTGATGGATTTTGATGAGAAAAACGTTCGTATTTTGAGCGAAGGTTAGTAAAAGACGTTATTCTTTGATGAAATGTCAGCACTCATTCAACAAAATGATTCATGTTGTTTAGTTTTGTAGAGTTATGAATTCAATTTTAATTGATAGTTTTCATCAAATAACATATACAATGTTACTTACCCACAGCCATTGACAATTGTATAGCATTTTTAACAGTATTATTAAAATCACCCCATGGTGTATACGTTTGGAGTATCGATTCTAAAACCATTGGCGGTCGTTCGGTTGGGTAAGATGGTAAAAATCGAAAATATTCTTTCATTGCATTCTTAAATGTTTTATAATCGACGTAGGGCAATGAGTCAAGTGGCATGTTACCATGTGGTACGTAAATAATAAAGTAAGAACCTTCGTCACTGTTAACACCAAGTAAAAGTGGACATTTTTTATAATTTTTATCGGTTAACATTAATTCAGGATCATATGGAACAAAATCATTATCGATGGTGGGTACAAACGTATAGCCAACTGGACCGCCATTATACGATTCCAGTGCCCACGATGAACGAAAATGTATTTGATTTAGAACGGGATATTTTTGTACACATGCAAATTTATCTTGGATTGTTAACATTGGTTTTTGACAGATAGGTGGTATGGCTTCATACTCAGGATCGATACCACCATTTGTCGGTCCATTTGAATATCTACCATAAATATAATTCGTTAAAACATCCAAAAATTTCTCACTGCGAAATTTGGCTATACGCTGATTTAAAACAGCCCATTTTGCACTCGCTCCACTCGATTGCAAAATAGCATTATTAAATAAATGTCGAGATTTAGGTGAGAGTAAATGAAGTCCAACAGAAACAGCTCCCGCTGATTCACCAAACAGTGTAATACGTTGATTATCACCGCCAAAATATTGAATATTTTTATGAATAAATTCTAATGCAAGTAATTGATCATAGAGTCCTTGATTGCCCGGAGCATCCTCAGTTCCTAAGTATAGAAAACCGAGGCTTTCAACGCGATATTCCATTGATACGACTATGACATTGTTGGTAGCTGCTAATATAGAACCATCGTATAACCGAAGAGTACTCTAAAAGTAAATCAGAGACACTAATTAAATAAAAATATTTAGTGCTCTAGATAGAGAATAGTAAAAGTTTAAATGAATACTATTTGTTAATCTATCATTCCTTCAACAAATTGTTCAGTTTTAACATAAAATTTTTAATATATGATTGCAACTATATTGATGATTTCTAGAAACATTTAACAAATTTGTATTTGCCTGTTTACTCAAAAACTGCTTCTTGTCCTACTATTTTACCGATGAATATATATATATGTATGTACCAGTGTCAATAAAACTATTGAGAAAATAAGAAATCTGTTTTCCTTAATTATCGTTTGTGTATATATATCAAAAATAAAATATTCTTAAATTTATCAGACAACTAAAATTATGAATTGACAATACTCACTGATCCACTAGTAAATCCCCCACCATAAAACCAAACCATAACGGCTAATGGTTCGGAGGACACTCTTTTTGTAGGTATCCATATATTTAAATATAAACAATCTTCACTCATCGGTGTAATGGGTGTCCATATTTTTTCTCCGGACGTGTTGAAAAAGTCAATAATCATTTGATAACATGAATTTGGTAACATTGTTGCATTATATATCATATTATCGGCATTATGCCAGGGACGTTTGGGTACAGGTTTTTTAAAACGAAGTAAATTTTCGGGATTTTCAGCGTATGGTATGCCTAAATAAGCATAGACACTTTGTTGTTCATCGTTTTTTGTTGTATTTGATTCTTTGAGATAAAAGTCAAATTTAACTCCACGTACTAAACCTAATGTTGTACATTTAATCGTTGGATCTAAATGTTTTGGAATATAAGTATGATCACAATAGTTTGAATGAAACGGTGACTGTGACGCGGTTTGTGCTCGAGCTGTGTCCAAAAAACTAATTAATACTAATAGTAGAACATTGATGATATAAATAGTAGAAATAACACGAATTAAATATAAACCAAACATATGATATTTATTAAATAGAATAACAAAGATAGCATCATATTTACACATACATCGGAAGAGACAAAAATAAAACAACAATGATAATATTAATATAATTGAGAAATAATAACAATTACGTATGTACGAAGAACCGTGACAGACATAACATCACCATTACACCATTATGAAAGAATGATATAAAATAGATCTTTTTAAGTAGTCCTAATAAATTTTGAACAATCTTATCTCGTCATTTCATTTATCAATATTAAAGCGAGAGAATATTAGAATAAATCCATGATATTTATTTATTCGTTTTTCTTTTTCTTTTTTCGAAACATAAGTATTATTACCATCATTGATGTTATTCTTAAGAAAAAAAACGAGATAAAATGATGAGATGAAGAAGAGATCATCATTATTTATGTGTGTATGTTTTTACAGTTGCAAATTGTAACAATCATAAGAGGAGAAAAAAAAAATGAGAGAAAAAGAAATTGATTTTTTTTTTGTTCTCGTTCTTTCTCTCTCTTTCTCTAATATGTATAAATAGAAATACTTCTAAGATCGGTTTATTGATCATGAGTTCTAATGTGTTAATTTTTATTTATTCATCAGGTTCCTTTCTTTCTTCATTATCATTAATATTTTTTCTCTTATTGAATTCAAGACACACACACACATATATATATATAGAGAGAGAGAGAGAGAAAGAGAGTGAAAAAATCAAAAGATTATTATATACATTATTACATATTATTAATTATAAAGATAATACTGATTAGGTACTCTCTCTTCAGTATTATCTACATGAAACAATTTAAATCTAATAAAATACAAGGCTCTATAATCAAATTATCACTTATTCTTTGTAACAGAGAATTTTTTTTCTCTTTCTTTCTTTCATGTTTGAGAGGAATAATACTTCCTAAAAGAAAACAGGCACAACAATATTTATGTCGATGTTGTACATGTCAAATTGGACACAAATTCTGAAGTTAGACATTTATATTTAATAAATGTGAGTAAAATTATTCTATTTTCTATTTAAAATAAATTATTTTCTATTATTTTTTATAAAATTTTAAAAATTTTTTATATCACCTTCGTTAAACTTTTGCAATAATATTCAATAGATCGTTAAATTAACATTCTATATACAAAGTTATGTAATTTTTTTTTGTCTTTCTATCGAGAAAAATTCAATTAATCATTTCTTCGATAAACTTAGTAGAAGTAGATATGTTATGAACGATTGATATAAAAGACATTTTTCTTCGTAAAAAAAACAAAACAATAATATATATATATTTTTTTTTTTTTTCATATAGAAAATAAAAAAAAATAAGTTAGATCATGTCTCACGTTGTTCAATCTATTAATACTATTTACTAATTCTAAAAAAATTTCTCATATAAACAAGAACAGACACGACTTTCAGCTGTGCATGACAGTTGATATTACGAAACGAATTGCCAAAAAATTATGCTAAAAAGTAAATAGAATACTTACTGAATAAATTTTCTTTTTCGTTTCTTTTTTTTTTCTCCTTTCTCTTCATAAAAACCGCAGCCGTTCATAAACAATCTAACGTGTGTTTCGTTTATTTACATAACCAGTAATTTGGTAGTTATATTCTTGTTCTTATTATTATTATTATTACTACTGTCATTTTTTTTTTTTCTTGGCTCCTAAGATCTTTTGTCCCATTCATCTTCCGCATTATTGTTGCATATATTCTTTTTTTTGGAAATCGTATTTTTAAGCACATGTGTTTTATTTTTCTCAATGGTTAATAGATTTCGAATTTTTTTTTTAATATATATATAAACTCATTGTTGGACATTTTATCATACTATTGTGATATGATCTGTAGTCCCTATGTGTCACCGGAAATCTAAAGATGAGTGGAAAGAAGAAGGAAAATACCTTCTCGGAGAGCGTATGAAAAAAAAAAAAGAAGAATTTCCAAAACTTTCAACAATAAAAAAACAAAAAAAAAAATTTCAGTTATTAGAATGAATACATTTCTACTCCTTCATTTGTTTATTATAATTCTAACTGTAGTCTTATACTCTAAAATAGTTAGAAAAAAAACACTTAATTTAAACTATTAGATTCAATTCAACCATGACAATAGTCTATCACTGATATTTACTGGTTATAAATGTAACTTACGTTTACAACATATCACGCCGTATAATCAGACCGTGACATAGAAGAATAGCTTGAAAGGGAATGAAAGAAAAGAATGGTCTAATGTCTTTATTGACAGAACAATCATTATCGTCCAATATTTTCTATAAACATTCAACACACTAACATATAGAAGAACTAAATGTTTCTTATTTCAGCTTATTGTTTGTTACTACACTATATAATAAACTGATATAAGCACATACGCACACACACACACACATACATACACATACGCAATATGCTTGGTTTTCACAAAATAATAATACTGTCCACTGCCACAGATAAATAATCTGGAATCAACGCGATTGTTATACTTAACTCAAATTAATAGTACCGTTTTCTAAATCATACAAGAGAAAATAATAATTTTTGATTAAGAAATCGTTTCTGTCATTATAGAAAGAGAGAGCGAGAGAAAATGTATAGTGTTTGTTTGTAACACTTTAATTCCTACTAAATCGACTAATTCTTTTTTTTTTTTTTTATAAACTGATAGCGCTCTCTTTTATTTAATGCTAAGCGTAAGTATTAATAGAAGTTAATTCTATTGTGAACAAAATCGATTTCAGAATTTACAATATAGTACACATTGTACTGTTTCTGAAGTAAAAAAAAAAAAAATCTACAAAAAATAGTTCTCGAGTCCTTGTATATTGTCTCGATCAAAATTGCTATTTTTAAATGAATGAAAACAAATTTTCTATCTCTTTGTGAAAAAGTAAATATTCACTAATTGTTAAGGATTAGCGAACATTTATATTACGGTAAAATATTAGAATCAAACGAAAAAGAGAAAAACTAATTGATCTAGTGTTACTGTTATTGAATTTTTTCGGATATATAGAATATAAAAAAGAAAAGCAAAGAGTATTCTAGATAAAAAAGAAATGTGGATCTGTAAGAAAATATAGTCTCAACGGGAACAAAACGAAATCAATTAAATGATTTTTTTCTCGTTTTTCATATGGTGTTTTTTTTTGATATTAATAAAAGCAACCGACAAAAAAAAAAAAAAAAAAAAAAAAAATTTTTGGTTTTTTTTTAAACTAAAGAGCATAGCAGATTTTTTAACCAAAAAAAAAAAAAAAAAAAAAAAAAGATTTTCTCTTTTTTTTCACAGAAATCGCATGACAGATTTTTTAAACAATAAAGAAATACATCAGAAAAGTGTCTAGTGAGGTGAATCAAATGGATTCAATCGAGGTTTTTAGTGAATCAATCAGTTATCGGAAACTACGTAAAATAAGGCATAAATCTGATAAAGTATAAAGGATCAACTATAGATGGAAATCATCGTTCAAACGTAAAATAAATTGACTATTCTAGGTAAACAAAGTGTGTAAATGAATAAAGAACATTTTTTCTGAGTTGTAAAAAAGAAAGAATAGTCAAGAACAACTTTCGATATAATCAATTGTTTTTAGTGATAACTATCAAAATTTACATAATTTCGTTATGAGAGAAATGATTTGTTCGGAAAATATTGAAATACAGCAAATCTGTCATTTGTTTATGTGTCAATTCAACGAGAGTTAATCTGCGTGAAACCTACGTCAAATATCATTATTATTGTCGTTATTAACACAATCGAAGTAGTAACATAATGTCCTTGTACTTAGTAGTACATTTGGTGTAAATAAAAATATATCATTCGCACGCAAGCTGGTACTCTCTGTCTAACAAATATTCGAGTATGTAAATAAAATAATTATTCTATACAATACAGCCGTTACCAGTTTTAGTTTCAACAAAAAATTTATGTTATTAAACTATTCATACTAGAGAAAATTGACGTTACACATACATTTTTATGAACAGTAAACTTTTAATTTTAATTTAACAGTTCATTACTCGTAAATGTAATGTTTGTTCGATTGAAACTGTGGATTCTATACACTACTATATTGAAATCGATAAACTGCACTTTCTTTTTTTTTCTTCTTTGTTTCTGCTTCATTTCATAGAATAAAAAGGGTAAAAGAAGAGGCAAATAATTTTCTTCTTTAAAAGTTAAAATGATTTTTGTTCTATAGCTAGATCAAAACAAGCCATTATCTAATCGAATAATATATGTCATAACGAATAAGCCCCGAAGCAATAATCGTTTAGAGAGACGTTAGAGGTCAAAAACAACCAAAATCAAATATGCTGTTGTAATATTAAAACTCTAAAAATCACTCCAATACCAAAGAACCATTTCTTTTCAAATTAAATATCATTCAGGAAAATGACATTGATTTTATGAAATAGAAAATTCGGAAAAATTGTACTTTTAAACTGAAATTTTTTTTCAAGATTGCAACCTAGTTATATAAAATTATCATTAAACTGGCTGATCATCTGGTCAACTTAATAATCAAGTAGAAAACAAGATATAGATTCTCACGTGCGCATAAAATCGTGTTTTCAGGTAATGATATTTTTACCTTATCGGTCAGAATGACAGTGCGCCCACCTAAATATTAAATAAAATACATCATTATCCTATTAATATTACGATTATAGCATCTGAATTACCCAAGCTAAACACAAGAAAAAAGATACATAGAATTTAAACAATTAATTATTAACAATAATACAAAAATGTTGGTGACAGCAACAAACGGTTTGTTATCATCTTTCTTTCATAGAAAGTATATAAATAAAACAGAATGAGCAGAAAATTGGATGACTTTTTATCAATTGCGAAATAAATGACTTTACAAGTTGTTTTCGTTAATATTTATAATTTTCATTTTATAAGAATCGATGCAAATTTGAGTTCGTTTTCTTCGAATAACTTCCTACCTTGATAACTTCAAGACCACCATTCACTGGGCGCCCTCTATTGGTACTAACTGTGATCGACACTCGTCCATTGAATTTCAGCAGCATCTATCTACTAAAGGACACGGACATCAATCTTTTTGTACACTCTAGCGTGTTATTTTGCACATAATTGCCGTCTTGTAGTGAAGACAATGCATATATCACTTCTTAACTTCAAAAGTGAAACTATATTGACCTGGCACAAAAATATGGAAAGTTTATCGTAAATTCGATGAAATCTAAACAGTATTTAGCCGTAGCATAATATTCCTAAAGTTTCATCGTTACCTGTTGCTTTCTATCTTGAATAATTACTATCACCAAAAAAAGAATGCAGCTAACTGTTTTTTGATTAACTAGAGAACACAACATACTAGAGACGTGCGATTTTCAGTGTTCGATAGCCAATACCTTACCACGTCTTTCTCTACGTTGAAACATTTTTCAAAAAAGTTTCGAAAACCGATTCTTCAGAGTTGGAAAACTACTTCATAACTCGAGAAATAATAATAACAATCCATCGACTTTTTTCCATGGATAGATAGTCCAAAGTTTCTTCATCAAAATGGAACCTAAGCAAAAGCTCAAAAGTCCATGGTTCGACTGAAAAACCGGATTTCAAAATTAAATTTTCAAAGCTTTTAAATAATGTAAGGCGCTGGAAATTCAAAACTTAAGCAAAATTTATATTTTTGTGATATTTCTATTTCATAAAAATTTCTTAACAACGGAACAATATTTTCCAAATATATTGTGTTTGAGTTTTACGTTCGTTTTTAAAAAATAAGCCGTTTATTAAAATTTTAAAATTTTCAGTTTTTTTAAATTTTCCACATTAAAATTTTGATTCGAAAGGTTAAAACACATATATTCTTGTTCAGCTCGATGAGCTCTATCCAACAATCTATAAGTATCGCCAAAATAAATTTGACTTCAGTTTTGAATTTTCTCGCATTAAAATGTATGTATTTTGAAAATTTCAAGTGATTCGGATGAAAAATAACAACTCTATAGACTTTTTAACTTTAGGTGTTAATAGCCCAAAAATGGTATTTTCTAAAAGCTCTCATCATCTGAAATTATTTACTAGCTGCAATAAAATAAACGGCGCCTCGATAATCAGAAGCCTCGATTGCCTACGTCCATGATTCTACACTGTTAAAAATCTTTATTCTTCTGTTCTATGGAGAATATGCTGAAAAACTTAAATGCGTCATCTGGAAAATGAAGAACAAAATATATGTACTTCAGTTCATTTTTGTTTTTCAATGCATTTTTGTATTTCAGCTGGCTTTTGTTCTTCAAGATACGAGTTCTTCATTTTTGTGAAGAACAAAAGTCCACAGTCCTTAACAGAGAATGATGAAATGCGTGTTGATGTATAAAGCAAATTGATTCGAGACGATGAAAATGAGAAAATGGTGCTGAAAGAAATATTGCAATCAAATAGAAAATTAAAAAGAAAAATAAGTTAATTTCTCAAAGCTGCGTTAATGTCAAACTTGGCTAACTAAGAAATTTTGTGAAGTTTAATTAGGATGTTTAGCTTTTTACGGCCATTTCTGTAAGATTTTCTTTCTACAGGTGGCTTTGTTGAGATTTTTACTTTTAGTAGCAGATTGTATAGATTTAGACAGTTGATCAACTATTAAGCTACTTTTTTATAACTTCGAGATCAGACAATCGTTTTGTTTATATTTTAGATAATATCGAAACTTTTTTAGAGCATTTATCTGTTTAAACGTATTTCTTCACTAATGTAGATTTTCACTCGTTTTTATATCACTTCTTTTCCACCTAAGAGGGCTTCAGAGTCGGAACTGATTGAGAATTTTTGAACCGGACCTAGATGACCTGCAATGAGACACTGAGAAGCAATTTTAACCGGTAAAAACCGGCCGTTTAAACTATCCAGCTTCTTCTCAATCAGCAAAAAATCACTTTCTTTCTGTTAGAAAAGGGATTCTTAGTAGAAATTACTGGAATATAAGATACAGCATATTTTAATGATTGCTTTTTTCTCGGTTAGAACGAGCACCCTTTCCATCTAAGCTGTTTTGTTTTTGTCTTTTTTAATTTTCTTTTTATCAAAAATATTAATTTTTTTAAACAGTTCATTCGGTGGAAACCAGCAAAAATACCAATCTGATCAAATAATTCAATTGGTGCGGATATTGGATACTACTAACTAGTTCAATTGGTCTTTCTTGTTCCAGTTTTCTAAGGCTCAGCTGCGTGCATTGCTTCGAATGTAGAAACATACGCCTGAGTCATACTTAACGGATTAAAGGTTAGTATTGAATTCTACACACTACGAGAAAAGGTGCAGCTACATCTTTCAAAATTAATCTACTAAAAATAGTACTGCCGTTGAAGAACAAAAACGTATTTTTCAATTTTTCAGACATTCCCATAAAACGTGTTCTTCAGAGAACAATTGTCTCAAATAGAGGTCCAAAAAACTGAGGTACAACATTTTTGTTCTTTAGTTTTGAGAGAACTTTATTTTTGCAGTTTTTCAGAAAACACATACGGGATCCGTATTTGGAACAAATGAAGGTCAACGCTTTAGCATAGATAAAGACGTGGTAAGGTATTAGCTATCGAGAAAAATCTCTCGAATCGTTTGAAAAAGTATTGACTTATCGAAAAGTCGACTTATGGGTGATAGAACTAGCATTTGAAAGCAAACGGTCGTACAGAATTCACTCTTGCGACAATTCGAACAAGCTTTAGTTTGCGAAGACACCGCTGTTTTCAGTTCTATATCCAGTCCTATCCCATACAAAACTATTATATATTTTTGCCATTCATCCTAGATCTTGTCATAGGAAAACTGTTGCAAACCAATCCTCTAGGTCAGTATGATTCGATCAGACTCTAGAACAAGCTTTTGTGTTATTTGGTCTTCACACAAGACACCAACATAGGTTTTCGTTGATGGTAATGCTGATCCTGACGACTTTTTCTGATTGTGCGTGCAACTTGTCTTAACTGAGTTCTGAAATATTTACAACTTGTAAGTAATGGAAAAGTGGACGGAACTGTGCGGAAATATGTGATTATCTCTGGACATATTGAAAGTATTTAAAAATTTAGTTTATTCAAGTTTTCTTACATATCGAGTTTAATTACACGTAACAAAAACAAAAGTAACAAAGTAATTACAAAAAATACAGTTTGTCTTATGTATTTTTTCCGTACTTGTTTTTAGATGATAGCATTTTCGTATACGGTTCTAGTTGCAGCAATATAAAAAGAATGCTTTAAATTTTTATCTAGTAAATCAAAATAATTATTGACTAGTATAAAAAAACAGATATTGTATATACAGTGAGTGATATCTGACTGTGTGAATGTGAAGAGAAAATACACAAGGGTCAACAACAAAAAAGAAAAAATAACTATAATTTAAAAATGAAAAATACTAAAAACTACAAAAATTCTGCGTAGTTAATCTTAACGCGAATAATTTGCCGTTTATAACGTATATTCTTGCTGAGCATTAGATTATAGACTAGAATGATGATATGATTCTAATCTATTGAGAAGAGATGTGTGAAATTTTAAAGAATGAAACATATGGGTTAAAGTTATGTTGTATATGTTAGAACGTCTACGATACAAAAATGGGCAATTCAACATTTAGTCTAATGCAAAAAGGATAACTTGCACAAAAATACTCCTTGAATGCGCAGTTGAGCGCTGATGACTCATTCTATGGGTAATATGAACTCTTTTCTGTCGATTCAGATAATTTGTATAACGTGAATAAAGTCGATTTTCTCTCATGGAAACAGCATTTTCTTCATGATTCTAAGTTAACTTAAGAAAAGATCGTTTTATTTATGTTAAATGTGAGCGATGTACTATATAATGTGATTTGGACGGAATAATAATATTCGAATATCATATTGATTCGTACTCTCTTGTTCATTTAATTATTAGAGATTTACTTGTGTGACCATTTCCATTACAATAACCATTTGCATACGGTTTTAAAAATGCTGTCGTCCGATGATGTGTTCTTTTTTTACAACATACGATACCGAAAAATATAAATATTGTCAAAAGTATCGAACTAATACAAAATATAATTACAATAAACATAATATCATGTTGACGTTTTTTAGTTGTTAATAACAACTGATTTTGTTGTTGATGAAGTTTTAGATTCGAACGATAATCGTCTAGAAGATAATTACGATCATTATGACTATCACCGTTAATTAATAAAATTATACCCTGTTTTATACACGGTATTGAAAATGTGTCGGTGAGAGTGTAATGAATTTCATAGACACCAATTGGAGGAGAGATTGACGATGATGAAAGAGAAAGAGTTCCATTTGAATCTAATTGAAAATAGGTAGATGACGATTGTAGTTGTGTAAATGTAATATTATATTGATCAGATGCATCTTCATCATATGCATATAATTTAAATGGAAATATTTTTAATCGATTTTTATTTAAATAAAAATATTCATCATTAGTTAAATTTAATAATTTTGGACAATATTCATTAACATCTCGAATATTAATTTGAAGATATGTTTCACTTTCTAATGATGGTGTACCATGATCTCGGACAATAACAATAAATAAATGTTGACGTTGACTTTCATAGTCTAAATCACGTGTAATTAATATATCACCACTACTCAATATATGAAAATAAAATTCAGAATAAGCTGTTAAAGAACGTAAACTATAAGTATATTCACCACGACGACCTAAATAAAATTATATAAATATTTAATTTATATCTTCAGTTTATAGATCAATATGAAATATTTTACCTTTATCATTATCATATGCTTGAACGTTGCCCACTACCGTTCGAATTTGTTTATTTTCATCAGTTTCAAATGTGTAATTTTCTTGTTTAAAATGTGGTGGAGTATTTTCACCTTCAATTGATATTTGAACTAGTGTTTCAGTTGAATATTTAATATCTGTTGCTCGTATAATTATTTCTGTTGATTTATCAGTAAGAGTCATGGGAATTGGATTATTTAAATACAATTGACCATTATGAGAATGTATTTGAAATAAATTTGAATATTTTTGTTTAACAATATGATAAGAAATTAAGGCATTTTTCTCTAAATCATTGTCTATTGCATGTACTTCACCAATAATTGTTTGTTGAGGTATTGATTTAATATTAGTGACAAAATGATACAATTCTTGAAGAAATTTTGGAGGACTATCATTATCATCGTCAACTAAAATGGCTATAATAAAACGTGTACTATGATAAGGTAATGCTAAATCATGAGCATCTAATTGAAGTATAAAACTTGATTCTATTTCACGATCTAAGATATCAATAATTTCTATCTAGAATAAGAAAAAAAAGAAAAAGAAAAGAAGATAATATTTGATAATACAAAATAAATATCTAATATTTATCTATATACCTTATAATAATTTGTTCGAACTTGTTTAAGTTTAAATGCGTTTCGATGTTTACTAGATGTTGACAAAATTTCCATATTTAATTGTATATCACCTCCTCTTCCCTTATCTTTATCATCGACTGTTACTATTGCTAATACAAATGTATCATTCATATTTTCCATTAAATGTATTTGTGAATTATTTTGTACAATTTCAGCTAATATACCTTGTTCTGTACCCATTCGATTATTTTGACGAAATTCAATTGTTGGTACATGATCATTAACATCATCAATTGTCAGCAGAATTGTTAGATAAGCAGGAATTGTTGAACTCATAAGTGAACCTAAATCTTGAGCTTTAACATAAAGTTTCAGTTGATTATCATCGATTAAATATGATATAAGATCAGATGATGTTAAAGAGAGAGGTTGTAAAATTTGAATACATCCGGTAAGATTATGAATGGCTATATATGAGGATAATTTTGAAGATGAATCAAAACGTTCAAAACTGTATATCACTTTGCCGTTGTTCCCCTCATCTGGATCAAATGCATTTACACATGTTAGTTCACCTAAAATATGAATAATTCAAGTAAAAATGCTCTCTCTGTTTAAGAATCATATCATCGGAACAATAAAAATAAAAAATAAAATTGATTTCAAGTTGCTGAAAAGTGCTTTTTTATATTTAGTACACTCGATAACTCAGAAGATTTTCTATTTTTGACGAAGGATACTTCCAAAAGTTTCGGAAAAATTTTTAAACTAATATTATTTTCCCATGAAAATGTTTTTTGCACCCTTTTGTTTGAAAATTTTTTCTAAACTTTTGGAAGTATCCCTCGTCATAAATAGAAAATCTTCTCGATTATCGAGTGTAGTGAATACGAAAAAGCACTTTTTAGCAATTCAAAAACAACTTTTTATTATGTCAACAGACATTAGGTGTTTTTGCAGATATTTTATTTTATTTTTTTTTGTTTAGTAATTTTTTTTGAGCGAACTACACTACTTAGAAAATTTGTGAAAATGGGAGGACAATTTCTCGACAATGGAGATGCACGTTCTTTTTTCAAACACAAGTCCAGATTCGTCGCCATAAGCCTCTTTTAGACTTCGAAACTTTTCGCACATTTATAAGAGTTGATTGTCCGACGCCATTTGTTTTTAAGACGAAAATTAATTATTTAATTCTTTGTTACAGTAAGAGATTCAAATGCTGAGTAGATATTTTTAATTTCAATTTTTCAATGATCTTGTCTCTGTTAATATGATCAGAGTCTGTCCCCCCATCGCAACTTGTACGCAGCATAATTGCTCTTTAGTCTATTTTTTTGTTCGGATGATATGAACCAATTAAAGAAAACGAATACATTACACTCATTTTTTCACTTACCCATAAATGTTTCATTAACATTTAGTGTCATTGAATCTGTTTTGAATTGAGGTGAATTATCATTAATACTAAAAATATTTAAAAATAAAATATAATTAATTTTATAAATAAAATAATTTATATTATTAATTTTATCTTACTCTAATATTTGAATATGAATTAACATTTGAGCTTGTGCATGTCGTCGATCACGATCTTGAGCAATAAGTAATAATTCATACTTATTACATTGTTCATGATCAAGTTGTTCTTGAATTTTTAAACATATTTCATTTGATTGTAATTGTTCAATTAAAAATTGATTTGAACCATTTCCTTGTAATTGATAATCAAATTGTTGATCTAAATCTTCATCTATTACAGATGGTAAACGATAACAATGACCAATGGCTATATCTTCAGCAATTTTAATAGAATGAATAGTTTTTGGAAAACGATGAGGATTATCATTTAAATCGATAATAGTTAAATTAACTAAAATAATATCTGATCGATATGCTTGATTATGTAAACGTAATTGAATATCACATTGTTTATAACATGAACAAAATTTTTTTATACGACAAAATAATTCTCGATCAATTGTTTCTATTAGATGTAATTGATTTTTATTTTGAATTTGAAAATAATTTATATAACGATTTGAATCAATTAATTGATAATCGGATGATAATAATGGTAATTGAAGTAACAATTTTGGTGGTGAATTTTCATTTATAGATAAATGATAATTTCGATGATGAGAATGATGTGTAATTGTTAATAAAAAATGAATATGAGAGAAAAAAGTAAATAGAAAAATGAAGAGTAAATTCATTATTCAACGTTTAATAACATTGATAAATAAAATCTAAAATAGAATATGATAATCAATATAGATTTATTTTTAAAAATAAAAATTTATTTATTTCATCATTATAAGTAAAACAATTTTTTTTCAATTGAAGTCTTCGCGACGATATATAGTAGAGATATCAAATTCTTGAGAAAAAAAATAAGAAGAAAACCAAAAAGAAGTCACAACTCTTGTCATATATCACGAAAATTTCTTCAATTTTTTTAAGATTTATACGGAAGTTATTTTTAGAGCAACAGATAGAAAGAAGAAGAAGAAGAAGAAAAAATAATAGTTTATATGGATGGATAAATATTATTATTCTTTAATGACAATTTCCTCATGGATATTCAATTAGATGATTACGCTTTGGTAGTCTGCGGAGGAAAGTTTAGAAAAATTTTATTGCTTCGAGTGTGCATGACTTGTCGGTGAATTTATATCAATTAATAAGAAACAAATTTCATTCATGCATTTTTCTTTAGAATAAAACAAGAAAAAAAAAAAAAAAAATGTCGAGTTCTCATGGACGTCTTTAAAACTTTTTAGACAACACTATCGAATAAATGATGTATAGTTTCAAGGACAAGTGAGTATTTTTCTGTTTTTTTTTTTTTTTTTTTTGCAATTGATAATATTCCCAATTAGGTAATAATTGTACAAGAAAAAACATGTTTTATAATTTTTAAACGCTTCATTTAATATTTTTTTCAAGATTTTGTTTTTCTTTTCTTATTTTTTTAAAAAAAATAAGTGTCATAGAACGAACATTTAGCAGCATCCTAGACATTCGACATTGTTACTATAAACGATCTATTCTAGGAAATAAAAGGTCTTGTTTATAATCAACACCATCTATTATACTTAAGTTTTTTTGTCAATCTCACTTTTTATCATAGATTACTCAACAATAAAATGCACTTTCTATATAATAATTACTTACAAATCTCAACAATTCATACAATTTCTTTAAATCATAGAAATTGTTGGTAGTTTTTTGGAAAAAATAAGAACTTAAATAAAACCTTGAACTTTTTTTGTATCACTTAAAAAATGTTATTTGTACGAAACAAATATCATGGTAATAGATCGTTTACAACCTGTTCAGAAATTAAACTATATCCTGCTGATTTTATGAATTATTAGTAAGAAAAAAAAAAAAAGAGAAAAAATAAAAAGAAATTTTTTGTAAATATTAATTCCGTCTTTAAAGACTTTTTGTTTTTTTTCTCATTATAATAAGATATATTCCCTTTCTTTGTCTTTCTCGTTCATTTTCATTTTTTTTTTCTCTTTTCATATTTTGTTGTCATATTCTTAATAGATATAGACGTCTTATAATGTTCATCTATTGAAAATAATATTGATATGCTTTTTCCTTTCATCATTCTTCTCTTATCATTATCATTATCATTATCCATCTATTTATCGGTATGCTCTTCGTTTTTTAATCATTGAAAATACGTCAGATTTTTCGATAAGAATTTGTGTTTCTAAAAATGGAACGTTATTATTGAAGTTTATTTTTAAAAAAAAAAAAACAACAGAAGAAAAAACTCAGTTCGATTAAACGATGTAAATTTCATCACTATAATGCTCTTTGTTATGTTAACGAGTTCGAAAATAAAATGAAAAAAGATTTTCCGTCACAAAATGGAAAAAATCAGCAATAGTAGTATTTCTTGTCTTTTCTTTTCCCATTATGGTACATTGATAATGAGAAAACGTGAACTAATGTAATCGAGCATATATTTTAACATAAAAAAAAAAAAAATATATATATATATAGAGTAAAAGTGACATGACTCTTAACATTTCTTTTAGTAAAATATGAATTTAAAAATATTTCTACAACTGAAAACTCTACCCACTGTATCTCTTTACTCAGTTCTATTTGATAATTGTTCATCCAAATTGACAGGCTAAATAGTAGAGATAAACATTTTATATTTTGACATTGTACAAGATGATCAAATGGAACATCATTTCGAGTTTACTTTTGGACAAATAATTTTAATTCAAAATCCATTTCTTTTCATCCTAATCTCTCTATTATAGCGTAATTAAAAATGAATCATGATTCTTCTTCTGTATAGGAACAAATTCTTTATTTTTTTTTTATACATTATACGGATATGATTTTATTTTTGTTATTATTGCTACCGTTCATAAATATCGTCTATAAATCATAATTTCCTTTTCGTTTATTTTTGAGACAAAACGGTGTGTAATTATTTTATCTTTGACATACGTTGTCATCGTTATAAATGATGATAATAACAAAAAAAAACAGTCGATTTTTCTCGGAAAGTTAAGCAATTTATTTTATTTATGTCTATAAACAAACTTCCTCCTTTTACATCCGGCTCTTTTCTACTTGAAATTAAACTATAAAAGTAATGCTTGTCAAATAGTTCGAGGTCGTAATCATCTAATTGAGTATCATCTCATTTAGAACACCTGTTAATCAATTCATATAGCTTATAGGGTTATTTGTTAGACATAATTTTAAACGTGTAAATTAAATTGTTTAATATTTAAAAGTTATAAGCTTATTAACTCGAGAGAAAATAATTGACATATGTGAAGTTTCACATGAACAATTGAGTCTACTCTGATTTATTTTAGCTACTAGCCTTATTAGAAGTGAACAGTTGATAAATAAAATAACGGTACAAAAAGTTGACAGACGCTCAGAACAAGCAAGTAAGCAAGTTTGATCGAATATAATTGTTTATATTGTCTGCTGTACACACCAGTCTTAATTGATTATAAACGATCGATATAGATAAAAAATCTGCAATTGATATGTCACTAGAGTCAATATGCACACAACGTTCTTCTACGTAATGGATCAATTCAAAATATATGGTATATAATCGATAAGGATTAAAAATCAAAACAAAAATGTTTTGAAATAGTTAATGTCAATTTATTATGCATGTAAATAGAAGAGAAGGGGGAGATTCAAATCCGACTATATTTAGATGTTCGATCTCATCCTAAATTTGATCAAAAATATTAACTATTGACCTTTCCTTTTATCTAATAAACAACTGTGTGCATGTTCTGTTAACTATTTATTCTGATTGTTACATAAATCTTTATTATATAAATAAATAATTGATCATTTGAGATACATTAACTATTTTCTCTTTCATACAGAAACAATATCATTGTTTGAACAACTTTTTTCAAACTCACAGGCAAATGAACACCTGCTCGAACACAGAGCGTTTTTTTTTTTGTTTTGTTTTGTTTTTTTTCTTTTTTTTTTTTTCATTATGCAATGAAGACAAGACAATATCTTTTTCGATGATGATGATGATCACATAGGTTCTTTAAACGTAATTTTTTAAGTGCTTCTCTTATATAAAACTATATTAATAATTCTGCTAATTTTATAAACATATTTGTCTTCTTTTATATCCATCCATATTCATCTGATTAACAGAGAGATATATCACCAAGTATAGAGATTTTCCTTTATCAACAAAAAAAAAAAAAGAAAAGAAAAGGACAAACATTCTCTTTCCGCAAACGAAAAGAAGAAATGATCTAATCTTTCACTACTTCTCTCTTCCTTCCTCGTCTCCTCTCTCTTTAATGTTCCTTTTTTGATTCATTATTGATTGCAAAAAAAAAAAATGAAAAAGTTTCTTTATGAAAAAAACGGCAATCGAATTGTTGGGCAACACACACCACACATACACTAAATAATTGATTTTCAACTTTATTACGAATAAATATTTTTTCCGCAAGCAGTGTGTGTGTATGTCGTTCTAAGAGAAGAGAAATGCGAGGAAATGAACAAAATTTTTTTATTACGTAATATCTCTCTTCTAATCAACACTATGTGTGTATGTATATGTGCGTGTGTGTGATCCTTCAAAAAAGCCTATCGAAATATGATTAGAGACCTTTAAAAAACAAACGATTACATACTTAAAAGTTCGACTTTTTTTTTTTTTATTGCTAATGAATTTGTTAGAATGTAACGAACTTAATAAGAATGGCTTAGGGAAAATAGTGATGAAGTTTGTTTTCTTCAAATTAACAATTGGCTGTAGGAAAACTATCGTGTATAACTACCAATAGAAAACAAATTGTTTTAGTTATCATTTCGGAAAAAGATCCTATTTTAATATGATGCCTAGTCTTAATTACGAGTCTTTCTAACAGTTCTTTTTTTTCTTCTCTTTTTCAAGTTAATAAGCCAAGTCAGAGATTGATCTACATATATTTTATGACCAAACAAAAAAAGAGTAGACATTTGAGATTATTTGAGCGTGCGAATACATAATCATTAATTTATTGTTTATTAGAGAACCGTTTGTAAAAGATCTCAATAGGGCAGGTATGATGTAGTGTATTAATCAAATAAATAATAATGATTATGTGTCCTTAGAGAATTAACTTTATCAATAACTATTTTATTGCATGAGTGAGGATAATTTAGGTATAGAAGTTGATAGATAAAGACATATGTACAGTTTTTCTTTAAATATAATAATAATAAATAAATGGATAGTTACATAATAGTTACACACAGAGTATTAGTACTATATAATATACTGTACAAGGCTGTAATATAATAACTCTGACAACAATGGTATTTTAAAATGTTAATACTAGAACAGCAAGACTCAAGAGAAAGATAATGATAATCTATAGTAAAAAAAATAGATATCATGAGAAATAGCTGAAAAATGGTGAGCACAACTAGACTAATGTATAATGCCCTACATCTTCTAGTGCAATGACAATTATTGTCACAATAAGTGAATTATCATGTGGTATAAAAGTTTGTTTACCAATTTTCGCTCTCTTATAAAATAATTATATGTATGTGTTTGAAGTTGTTCTATAAGGGATATTTAATGTCACTTTTAAGCATGTCTGTTGTTCATCATTTCTCTTTTTCTTTTATTTTTAATATCTATCAGTCACGTAAATCAGTTCTATGTATAGCGTAGGATGGG